GCTGAACCTCTAGGTATATTGCAGAAGAGATGGAAGAAGAAAATATCTTCCAGAACAGTGTGCATCTGCCCAGTTTTAAGCCTTCATTTGTATGCTCTTTTGCATAACTTGCTGTCTGCTGGAAACAACCTGCTTAACCGTATTCTTCCTCCTTCTCAAAATTTAAGGAAAACACCTTTTAAATAGATATATATAAAACAATAAAATCTCAGAATAGATTTACCTGCATAAGATCCACAGCATCTTTTGCATCCCTCTCAAAGAAATCTGGAGGAAAGTCTCGAGATGGAGGAATGGACTGTCCATATCCCCGAGGATCCCAAGCAACAATTGTGAAAAGTTTCTTATTCATAGACTTAAGCTGTGGTCCAAAATCGGTTTGACCACTCCCTGAAACATCACCATTTTTCAATTAAAGTAGCCACCATGTAATACATACATAGTATATATACTCTAAATGGAAACTGGGGAAACTTGTATCTTGAGTCTAAAAAAGAGGTTATCCATCAACTGCAGTACACTTTATCTCTAATTGTAACTAACTGTTGCAACTCTTAGACAGGAAGTGCCACAATAAAAGTCTTTAGAACTATCTGCAACATGCCCAGAGCAAACCACTTCTGGCAGGTATGTAAGCTTATCAAAACTGTGCTCTACACAGATGCTTTAACACAGAATCTTAAACTGAGTTACCTGGGTAGCGGTTTATCTTTAACAGATTTAAAGCGCTTGCATGGTCATTGCTGTTTATCTGGACAGCACAGATGAAACTGAAAGGGGAGGAATATACTGACTCCAGCTACAAATTTTTAGGTGAAAAGTGCCGTGCGAGACAGTTGTTCTTATTTGATAGAACACTTCTATGAGAATATTGGTGTTTAAAGCTGAGCTTTAAATACTTTGTTGCCTGAGGAGACAGTGGTGACACAAAAGCTCAAAACTGTAACTTTTGATTTTTCTAATATGTATGTTATCAAAATAAGTAAAATTCAGCAATGTTTCTGATGCAGAACAGTTTCTTTTATTGATGGCTCAGACCTTCAAAGGATTAAAAAATGAATTACTAAGCTATCTATGAACACGAGCATGAAGGTAAGACTGCAATTTACTTCTTATTTGCATCATGATCATGTGGTAACAGTATTGCACACTACTTGATTAAAAACTGTTTAGATCTAACATATTATATTCAAATGACGTCAATCAAATATCAAATTGGCTATCCATCATTATATTAAAAAGGCTGTTTAAGGGCATTTAAGATTTTGTTTACTTGGAGAAATAGGTCCTCACATACCTCCTCCTATACCATCAACTGGTCTAAATGATAAAAGAGGCTGTATATAGCATGCTGTGATGAACTGACTACAGCCTGGCATGACCTCTTGCAACACCAATTAATAGCTAGAGTCAGAAGCAAAATATCAGGTTGTTTGAAAAATACCAATGCAACCTGATTAATATTAATCACATAATCTTACATAGGCTTCGTATGAGCCTCTGCACTACCATTCACGTGCTTGTTGTATTTTTTTGTAACTTAAATAATACACAAGGCTGAAAGCATATCTGAATTCTGTGTTTTCTTGGTTTTCCTAGTATTTTTGTTAGAAAGAGAAGTGTCATTTTTGTTTTAATGTAGTTTGCAAATATTCTAGACACTAATTAATTCTATTGACCTAAAAGCACTTATCTTGTTTCCACAACACATTTATTAGCCTGTGAATACTGTAAGTAGTATACAGTAATATTGAAAACTTAGTATCAGTACAAAGGGAAGAAGTACGTGAGTCAGAATGTAAAGCTCACCCTCACAAGTTGCCCCAAATTATTAAACCATAAACTTATTAATGGTAAAGATAGTAACCTATTACTGTTTGCAATAATGCTAACTGAACAAAAGCAATGTACACCTAATAATAATAATATTACTGACAACTGAAGAAATACATTATTTCTGTTTAAAGAGTTAGCACCGGCAACAGGATTACTAGTTTTAAAAGCTGTTTAGAATGAACAGGTTAAAATATATGACTACTAAAGCACTCCTAGCATTAACTTTTTTACACCCTCCCCTTGAGAGTTCTTTGAAAGAACCACTTCACAAAGACTTGAAAATGTTACTGCCAAGAAGAAAAAATGTTTCCTGCTCTTCAGTTCTTGACATTCTGTCAATCATCTTGATCCAGCAATTCAGTTAAGCATAAGCCCAACTCTGAGCACAGTAATGGTCCTACTGACAGCCTGCCATGAACTGCTAGTAAGTCTGGTTCCTTAGAACTGCAAGAACCCAGAAAAAAAGCCTGTGTTAGTTTTAAAAGGTTCTTATCAAAAGCAGTGGTCCCAATGGACAGGTACCACTTAGCTAGCAGAACCTGTTGTCCACCTCAAAAAGCCATTGAGAATCTCAGTGATGTTGCCCTGAATAACCAAAATATGAAAATACATTTTTAAGCAAAAAGCAAGCCTCAGCTGTGCCTTTTTAACTATGATAATAAACTGCAAGGGCTGCATTGTGTATATTAATTCAATTGGAATGCACCTAGCTTCTAAAAAGCAATGCATAATTCAGTCTGTGTAACAAATACAGCTTACCTGATTTTTCTCCCCGCCTCCCCCGTTATTTTTGCACCTTGTGTACCTATTTGCCACCAGTGCTGGACACCCCCTTTGCACAGTTAAATCCAAAAGTGTGAGTCACTATTACACAAGTCAAGACATTGTATAAAAGGTGCCTGGTGAGATAAATTAAATCTGTAAAAATTGTTGACAGATTGCAACAACTCTGCACTTTCCTATCTTTTGTACATGTAGCAATTTTTTTAATGGCAATGCTCCATAATCAGGTGTTGAAGATATTACAAAACAGTTTTGTGCATTCTAGCTTGAGACCGGATGGCGAAAGAGGTGGTTGCTCTACAAAGATAAGACAAAATCTCCAGACCTAGCATTCCGGGAAGCAGAAGAACTGCATGGCTTCCTTCTCCTGTCTGCTGATAATGCAGGTGGACTCCATTCACTTGGATTTTGGCAGATGTTATTGAAGTACTAGGGATGGGGGAAGGGGAGAGAAATAGGAAAACATTCAGACAGTTAATTCTCATTACTACATGGTCATTCAAGGAATACAGAACAATTACTTTTTCAGATATTAACGACAACACAGTGAGATTTAAATGGGTCACTTGCCTTTCATGGGTGCACAGAAGACTAAATAAAAAAAACTCCTCAGGAGCAGAGAAGTATTCAGTTGTGACCGCTGCATAACATTTGTACTTAGGTTTCACAAATGTAGTTAAAATGACTTAAGGTAAAGGGGAGGAAAAAAAAAGTCTGGACTGTGCAACAAGGGGAATATAAAAGCAGCTTGATGTGGCTACAGAAACATGTTGAGAGAAATATATTAGAGAGGAGACACCTCATTCTGTCACAGCATAACTTTTGAAATGGCTGGTATTCACCCTGTAATTACTAAACTCCGCCTCTCCATCTGCCAAAGAAACCACAATCTATTGTTACGGTTCCTCATGAACCAGAGGGTCTACAATGAAAACCACCTTGCACTGAGGTGAGGATGGAAGAGAAGAAGAATGTGATAATAATGTATCTGTCAGTGTAATCAGCAGGAAATAATGCTTAACTGGAGAATACCACATGACCAAAAAAACCCACCCACAAAAGAAGTACCACAGAAACCGACTACATAGGCCACCTCCCAGCCCTGACCCTTAAACCCCTACATTAACCTTCAGTACAAAGCAAGACAAATGTGCAAATGCAAACAGGTAACCTGAGATACCGTGTCTAGATAGAAACACATAGTGTGAAAGTAAAAGTAACATAGATTGAAGCTATCTTCATAACAGCATAAACCATTGCATCCGTTCTCCCAAGCAAATTTGCGCCCTAATGGTTGCAAGACATCTGTTCACCAACCTAACTCATTTTATTTAAAGGTAGTAATATGATAAAAATTTTGCCATTTGGTTGCCTAAATGGGTAACTGTTATTCCCTGCACTTCTCAGTTTACCTAGATGAAATATTCTCGCCCCATGAATTCAATCAATGTGAATTTCACACGCATACAGAAATGCTGTTCTCCTGTCTTATACGTAACAATAATCTCTATTCCATGATTTGTACCGTGCAACTTATTAAAAATTCATTTTTAGCATATAAATTCTGAACTAATTACAGCACAAAAGCATAGCCCCATCCGTACAAAGTTTAAAATGGTGGAGTAAAGGAAAAAAATCCCATAAACTTAAACCCTTCTTATAAGGAAAATGAACAATAGCTCAGGTTCCCAGTACATAAGTGGCAGCTAAACCACAGAGCCTGCTCAACATAAAGCCATTTGGATTTTACATAAAATCTTGGTTGACATAACACAACCAATCGTGCCACGCGCCTAAATATAAGCTGTGACTTTCCAGAATAGGATCAGCTCTTTCTACCTGTGCAGATGCAATCTGAGAACTGGAGTACAAACGCAGATCTGTGGCAAGAATACAGCTCAAAGAAACTCACTGTGTCATTATAACTTCAGTGAGTTTTGCTGAATTGTTATGCAAATGTGATTCAAGTGATTAGTTTGCCCGTAATGTTAAACTTCTTTTAAGTCCATATATCACACCTGATGCGGCTACATACTTTGCAACTTGAATTCTGAACGTAGCATTCAGATGGCCTTCTTATCCCCTTTTGGAATATCTGACTTTTGCTTTTTTCTATTTATAAAAGAAAATGTTTTGTTATTTTTTTCTTGATACACCATCTTTTGGTTTGTCATTCATTTCAACAGATATTTTATCATAGTTCTCACCACAGCACCTTGCTCTTAGTAATTTTTATAGAAATATGTGATTTTTCTTTTGCTTCTGATTAGTAATTGCCAAAAACATTTCCAGTTCTGAACAAAACTGAAATAATCACCATCCTGTTACCTTTTTTTAAAAAAGGTTACCAACATGTAGTAGACAAGAATATATATCCCTTGTAAACAAGGGATTTATATTCCGCTTTCCTGATTCAGATGCTATTTTTTTTTTTTACACAGTTCTACATTTATTAGGATCAATTATTAACATCAGGGGCTTGAGAATTTTGCTGAGTTTGTGACGCTTTTCTATTCTTGGATTGTGCCTCAGTGTAAAGTCCAATGAAATCCAGGAGTTTCACAAAGAGAGTATTTTCAATACTTTCTGCCCTGAGAACAAATGACCCAGGTTTTTTCACACGCTGAGAAACTCTACTGGAACTGGCTACACCTAAGACAGATTTGGTCTTCCCCACACCAAGTTTCTGTGAGTCTGAAATCACTTCAGTGTGCTTGTCAGCATGATGACTTCACTTCTGTCAAGTTTTCATAAAGACTGCATCTTCCATTGGTTGGCATAAGCAGAAACCATGTTAAAACAAAAGAAAAAAAAAACCCCAAACTGCTATTTTGTAACTGAATTAGTAGTGTTAAGGTTTATAGCTCTTTGAGAAGCATTGGATACATAATCCTATGTCTACCAAGATAGTAGAGATGCAGAGCAGGTCTTGTTGGAGGCCACGCTTCGCCTCACACTCTGTAGGAGGGAGCTTAATCTGGGAAATATTCTGTTCCAGCTGTGCTACAACACAACCTAGTCTTTAATCTGTGCAGGGGAAAAAATAAAAATATGGTATTATGTCCGTTTTCCTTAATTGGATTTGCAGAATAAGCGGTATTATATATATTACATGCACGTATTCTCTTTGCAACCTCGGCGACCTCCAGGGAACACCTTATGGGCAGGTGGCAGGGCTGCTTCTTTCCCTCGCAAGGGGAAAATGGATTTGGGATGGCGGACACCGACGAGAAGGGGCTGCTTGTCGCCCTCCCAAATCGAGCGTACACACACTCTGCT